CGACATCTGCACATGGAGGTGCACAAAGTGCTGTGCCTGCCACGAAATCTGCACATGGAGGTTCACAAAGTGCTGCACCTGCCACGAAATCATGGAGGTTCACAAAGTGCTGCACCTGCCACGCAATCTGCACCTGGAGCTGGAGTTGCCTGGAGCTTGAGCTGTTGAAACCAGAGCTGGTGTATGAGCGGTGTATGATGAGTGGTGTATGATGAGTGGTGTATGATGAGTGGTGTATGATGAGTGGTGTATGATAAGTGGTGTGTGATCCGTGGTGTGTGATGAGTGGTGTATGATGAGTGGTGTATGATGAGTGGTGTATGATAAGTGGTGTGTGATCAGTGGTGTGTGATGAGTGGTGTATGATGAGTGGTGTATGATGAGTAGTGTATGATGAGTGGTGTGTGATGAGTAGTGTATGATGAGTGGTGTGTGATGAGTGGTGTATGATGACTGGTGTGTGATGAGTGGTGTATGATGAGTGGTGTATGATGAGTGGTGGTTGAACAGCTGCTGAATGTCCGTAACACGGAAGTTTTGCACACTAAACTTCCTTTGAATAGTTAGAAAATAGTCTAATCTGGTCTTAGAGGTAGTTTCTTGTCACCAACCTCCTAGCGATGGCCTCTCAACCTGCCTTCGTTGGCCTCTAACCTAAGAGCGATGACCTCCAACTTTTGCACCTTGTTTTACTCACGCTTTTTTTAACCTAGGTTGGCGTGTGGCACCGCTGTCAAGTCAGTACGCATATCCATAAGTGTGTGGGCACAGGGCGCGCGTTGACTAAACGAGCCTACACGCCGACCTAACAAGCCTGAAGGAAAGCCCAAGCAAACGAAAAGGCAAGGAAAGAAAGGTGCGAGGGGTGTAGGGTGGGAAGGGGTGGGGGGGGTTCAGGCCCGCAAGCGGCGCTCCCTTGACTAAAAGGCCTGAAATACACCTAAAAAGCTTGTAGAAAACGAGAGAGCAACAGCAGGAACGAAAGAACCGAAAAGTCCTGTGGCCTATGAATACTTAGCGGCATGACATGTGAATACTTAGCAGATCCGGTCGCATGGCCTATGACTACTTAGCAGCATGAATACTTAGCAGCACGATGTAAGCCTTTCTGGATTTTGATCTCAGTGAGCCCTGCGGCGTACAATCAGCATTCTCAAGCAAGATGCAATTCCTGCGACGTTCTCGAAGAGGTCCACGAGCAAAACGAAAGTTCAGGGAAGGTCCACCCTTGAGGGCATGTGCACATGCTGCGCCCCTCGCTGGGGATCACACCACAGTCCGCAGTGGGACCCTGTGGCGACACACACTTAGATTGATGCTCGCAAGGGCTAATTTATTAAGGCAATCCACTCTAGTGATTACAATACCAATCTAGAGCGCTGAAACCTGAACCTGTCAATGGCCCTGTGCAAACAGCAAGGTGAAGGGGTCGGAAACAATTATTGTTTACATCATCTGATCAAGAAGCTGCAGGCACGTTCGGATGATCAGTCCGAAAATCCCAGAACTGGGTCAGTCACAGAGTGCCCAGTTCCCCTGCCCGTGGGTTGGAAAATTTCCAGTAACTGAATTAATTTGCATGAAGTGGTGTCCTTTGGTACAGGTGTGGACACACACACACGCACAAAAAACTATTTTGACCTGCCCCAGTGCTTGCCTGGCATCAGACTCTTAAGCTCTTAAGCGTACAGCAGTATCACTTAGACTATCGCATCAATCTTTGATCCGCGTGAGAGGTGCAGCTCAGCTTTCTTGGCTGCAAAGATCATGTTCCAAGGTTCAAGCAGCAAAGTGGGCTGCCCCGGCCCACTTAACCGGACTCCCAAGCGCTTGCGGGAAAATGCGAACTAAAATTAAGTGAAACCATTGAGACATCCACTAGAACGTATATATATACACACTGAGAAGGTTTTATGTGAAGGAACTTTGGAAACATGTCCAAGCCCATGGCCTCCTAAGTCCTCTGCCGTGTACAAGAGAATGAGCGACACCGTCGGGTGTCAGTAGACAATATATATATATATAATCCAAAGCCCAAAACCTCCTAAGTCCACTGCCTAGAGTTCACGGTTGCGTAGACAACACCGTCAAATAGTTAGAATGGACGACATACTGGGTTCTCGGCTTGCTTAACCCAGTCGCCGTTCGAGTGAAAACTGAAACGTTTTTGCAGGTACGTTCGGATGATCAGTCCGAATCCCACTCTGTGACCATAGCTTTGTTGAACTGGGTCAGTCACAGAGTGCCCAGTTCCCCTGCTAGTGTATGCAAAAGTTTTTTGGCATACCAGTGAAAAGAAACGTTCATCAACAGTCTGACTCTCCGCTTGTGATAGATAACAACTCAATATATATTTATACAAGTACATATGTTTTTCTGGTAACCAAGAATCTCTGTATCTTTGTTGTGAAACCAACTCAATGACCTGAACTCACCATGTGAATCAACGCCAGCCAGTAGACAGTCCACCGAGGCAGCCGCTGAGACTCCCAGGCGAACCGGATATCCTCCTCCTGTTCCTATGGGATACTTACGACTTACAAAGACCAGAAAATCACCTTAAAGTTGAGTTCCTCACTAGAAAAAGCACTATGTTGAAGTTTTAGCATAGGAAACAAGGATGGGCCCACAAAATATGCGCAAAGCTTTTTAGGCCCGACTATGTCGGGTGTGCAGTTATTTTTCTCTTCCGCAACCATGGGATACTTGCAAAGTGTTTCACAAGCATGACTAGGTGACTAGGATTGAATTGAACAATTGAGAACTTATCTGCTTGCTGCTTTCGCTGCTGTTCGAAACTTAAAGGATCTTGAATGACACTTTACCAAACTGTTTTCAATTGCAGTCAGCAAAGTGTGTTGTTCAGAGCTGCCAACCAACAAAATATTTCTTTAGAGTTGACCTTGTTCCCAACCCCCTACAACCCTCAAAGGCGCAATCGTGTCAGTTTTCGTCACAACAGAAGCGAAACCCTTGGCACGGTTTATCCAGATCTGGTCATTTGGTCGAACAGTTGGAAAGCGGAGTGCTCGCAAATTAAGATATGATATATATATATACTTTAGCACTATAGTAAAGACAACCAACTAACAGCATGTAAACGTATTCTTGGAAACAAATTTCTGCATGTTTCGAGGTCACTGCAGCATCATCTCTTAATTGCTCAAGGGCCCAAGGGCCCTCAAAACCAAGCGGTTTCCATCCCCAACCATCCACATTAGCATGGTGTACGACCTTCCAAAAGCACTTTTGCACATATCCTTCTTCCAGGGTTCAGGGACTAAAGACCTCAGCCGCGAACAAGGACATGATATAAAAACATACGTTCTCTCCGACTGCGGGCATCGACCTTGTCCCTCGATTCGGTCGATCACCTCACCTTGGACAACTGCGTGTCCGTCCACAAAGCGGGTCGTGCCCCTGAGACGACCATTCCAATGCATGGCAATGCCAGCTCCTGATGGCCAACGCACATGGACATGGTAATGCCGTTGTTACTACTAGTAAGGCACCTTGCTACTAGTAGCTTCTAGTTACTAGTAGAACTGCCCT